GTGCACAGTGCAAAGCACGCAACTGGCATGCTGGTACGCACGCATACGTCCGTGTATTCTAGTTTCGCATCCTCTCTCGGTACAGGAGTGACTCCACTGGCGGGACGCTCCGCTAAGCTTTCCAGCAATACATGCCCCGCTTGTTGACTCAACGGGATTCTATAGCGCTATCGCCGACATAGTTCAGTATTCATGACGCCAGGCTTACACGCTGGAGGTCGCGCGATTCTGGAGGTCAGGTCTAACCAGGTGTGACCAGGATTCTGGAAGAGGCGTGTGTTTTCTGGCATACACAAGTTTCTTCTCATCTTTTGAGGTCCTACCTACACCCGCTACATTTGACAAATCTAGATATATTCATGGGCGGCTGACGATATTCCATGCTTGTGTGGTAATGGACATCGTGAAGACTCCCCACTGGAGGATATAGTTATAATCGTAGGAGAGCGTCTCCAATGCGAGGACGGGGTTTCCGCATGACATGGCGGGTTTGTATTTTTGTGATAAATATTATCTAGAATGTACTGTACAGCAACTCCAACAAGTTGGCTCGAACGCACGCACATCACGAGACATGTCTTTTAGTTCGAAGTGCTGATTCTCGGGCATTGATGATGCTCAGGCTATTCAGTTTGGCTGTATACGGCATAGCTTCTCTCTTCACTTTACTCAGAGCTTCGTCTTGCGAGCGCTGCATCGCGTGCGCCTCTCTCATTGCTCTGCGCGTCACCCCGCGTCGATAATCGTCTTCCGCCCTAGCTTGCTCCATTGCTACGTCATACCTTCAAAAGAGCGTTCATAGGGGCTTCTCATTGAAAAGGGTTGATCATCCTGCTAGCGTTCGCTACAACCAACAGGTAGCGGCGCGTGATGAACTCATCCTCCCACCGATACCTCTTCCTGAGCTCATCCATTTCCGTCTGGACCTTGGCTGCATTAGTCTCTCTTATCGCTTTGCTCTGAGCTGAAACCTGAACCACACAAGAAAAGTGATGACAAGAACAACAAGACACGATAGAGTATCATAAAGCATCTCACAAAAATCCCTTCAATGAATCAGAACCAGGAAAGGTGGATCCCCGATGCCTCACCTTCATCTCTCTCGACTTCTCATTCAGGACGGTTTTCTGACGGTGAGAGGCTTCCCTGACACAACACTTCAATCCCAACGATTAAGTCACCTCAGTGCTGGAGCGGCTCAAAATTCGTGCATCCCGCACCACACGTATGAGGTAGCGAGCATGATGAACGGTAAGAAACTCTCCCCTACCTCTTGCGGCCCTTATGAAGCTCCTCATGACGCTTTCTGGCGAGCAACTCTGCTGACTCCGCCAGAGCTGCTCTCTTGTCGGTGATCTTCCTCAGTTCCTGAGCGGCCCACCGATGACGTTAACTCAATAATGAAGAGAAGAAAACATCATCCGACTCGATGGGGCATACCTCCTGCAACTTGCGCTCTTCTGCCAACCGTTGCCGCTTCTTCTCAGCGATTTTATCCGCCACGTCCACCACAGCCTTTTTCGTGCAATTCTTGCA